TCCAGTTTGTTACGTCATTTTGTATAGGTGCATATTACCTGTTAGTTTGGATGTGGATATCATGGAGGAAGGGGGTGAGTAGCTGGGACGCTCACTTTCTGTTGACCGTTTCACTTTGTTTATTTAATTTTATTTGGTTTATCTTTTGTTTTCTATCTTACCGTCTTCATGCAACGTGTTGCTGTTCATTTCTATATTGTAATTAAAACCCTTTGCGATCGAAACGCGTCATGGATGTATTCCCACTACTTAGCCCCTTTAGCGGGTACTGGCTGCCGTAATAGACAGAATATTAGTCTAAGTCAAATTTGACAGCAAAATCCCCCGAGTTAAATCAACTCACATATTGTCCCAATCTACAGAGTGTTAAATTAACACTGAAGCAGAGTTACCACTGTTGAGGATTATGTGATGTGTTTTCATTTCTAAAAGCCTGAGCAGTAGTTGATCATCTTCAACATAGTTAACAGCGGGTTTTCTTTACTAATGCACACTCATCAATTAATTAATTGCTTAATTATCCCATTAACTTTAACTCGGCTTCAGTGTTAATTTAACACTCTGTAGATTGGGACAATATGTACTCTGAGCAGAGTTGATTTAACTCGGGGGATTTTGCTAAAGTGAGTACAGACAGTAACTGAAATTATAGCCTCCAGGTTTTATTTTTTCAGGTAATCTAATCAAATTAACACTATAAATTCAAATGTAGAAATGTACATTAATGAAAATACACACTTTAGTTTTTCCAATTAGCATTCTGTGCTTTTAAACAGAGGACAGATCTTCTGTATTCCTGAGTTTTTCTTAACCAAATCCTTGATAATCAAAACTTAATAAATTAATTCATTCACCCACATGTTGTGTTTAAAACTTAATTCTTGAGTCAAACACAAAAGCAGATGTTATGCAGAACATTAACCCCAGTCTAAGTGAAACTATATGAAAATAATAAATTGAACATTATTGTATATTAACATATAGTAATTTGGATTAATGTCAATACGCACTTCAGCTTTTCTAATCTGCATTGTTTGTTTTCTACCAGATGAAAGATCTTTTTCATTCCTGAGTTTTCTAGTGTATTTCCACTCAGATCCAGCTCGATCAGGTTTGAAGGATTTAAATTAAATGCTGAAGTCAGAGCAGCACAACCTTCTTCTGTAATGCTGTTATTATTCAGCCTGCAGAGAAAGAAAACAAAGACAGGAAACAATCTTCAGTTGATTTCAGCTACAATACTGTGAAGAAATTGTATCTTGAGCAGCAGACATTATTTGTGAAATAATATTTTTATTAATAATTCAACTGCATATAATTTATTTTTGTATTATCTCATCACATTTCACCTCAGTTTTAGATTATAGTTTTGATCCTGTAGTAAATCATCAAGCTCCTTCACTCCTGATTGTCCAGGATCATTTCCTGTGAGATCCAGCTCTATCAGGTGTGAAGGGTTTGATCTCAGAGCTGAAGCCAGAGCTTTATAACCTTCTTCAGTGATACTGCAGTTTGAGAGTCTAGACGAAGACCAAAAAAAAAAAAATAATTATTCATTTAGCATACTAATGTTTTTTTTACTATTGTAAAGTATGTTAATGTTTAATTTTTAAATTCACCAAATTCAAACCTGAGTATCTGCAGTGTACACTGAGAGTTTTCCAGTAGACTGGAGATTTCAGTCACTCCAGAGTTTTCTAGTTTATTTCCACTCAGATCCAGCTCTATCAGGTTTGAAGGGTTTGAATTAAATGCTGAAGTCAGAGCAGCACAACCTTCTGCTGTAATACTGATGCAATTAAACCTGTAGAACAGAGAGAAAAAGCCATAAATACTATTATGCAACTAGTAGCTTTGTCTCTTATTACTTTAGTACAGCGGTTCTCAATTCCAGTCCTCGCTTCAGACGTTTGTTCTATTCGAATGTAAGTGCCCTGCGAAGTGGACATCACAGGATATTCCGCCATGATTCCAGTTCGAAGTGAGCATATATGTTTCATTTAAATGTCATTAAAGTGTACGAAATGTGAATTTAAATTATATTTATTTACAGATGCATTTATGTCACACTCTAGTAAGTTTGTGAAGACGAAGACGCTGCAGGTGGTGACGTAGCACAAATATGTGAATGAATGTTTCCGAAGTGAAGTACACTTCAACGGCTTTCCCCTGCTCAGGGAGTAGGAAGCAATAGACACTGTTTAGGGATCATGTCAATTGGAACACAGTTCATGCACAGAGCTCACTTCTAACGAGCTGGTTATCTGAATCAGGTGTGTTAACTAAGAGAGACATGCAAAATATGCAGAGCGGGGGCGAGGGGGTGTTTGGATGGGCGCGAGGACTGGAAGTGAGAACCGCTGCTTTAGTCCACCAAAACGAGATTTATGACAATATTTTTTCAGTAGTTTTCCTTTTTTAACACATTGACTAAATTACTTACTTCAGTGTTTTCAGTCTACACTGTTCATTCTTAAACAGAGTCGAGAAGAACTTCATTACTGAATTTTTGAGTGTAGTCTGACTCAGATTCAGCTCTGTCAGATTCGAAGGGTTTGAATTTAAAGCTGCAGCCAATAAACGACAATCTTCTTCTGTGATATTGCTGTTATTCAGACTGTGTTAAGAGAAAAAGCAGTTTCAGTTACAGTTTCAACTAAATATTTGTTAAATACTAAAGAGTTAGTTGTTAGAAGTGGTAAACTATATATAAAACATCCAGCAGAAAGTTTATAAGTATTGAAATTGTCATAATAATGATAAAACTTACATCAGTGTGTTGAGTTTACAGTGTTTGTCCTGCAGTACCATAGTAAGTTCCTTCAATCCTGAGAGTCCTAGTTCATGTTCACTCAGATTCAACTCTCTCAGCAGTAACAGGTTTTCACCCAGAACTCTATTCACATACTGACAGGCTTCATCTGCAGCAGGACCCAAAAACCTGAAGAAGAGAAGATGAAGCAGGATTCAGTTCAGTTCTCCATTAAACTTGGAGTAATGAAAAACAGCAGCCAAATCTGATGAATAAATGTGTGAAATGGTTGTATTTATTTTTATGCATCAAATTGCATTAGTGAAATATTTTTTTCTATAAATAATTCACCAGCACATCATTTAAGTATTATTTCATCATCTCTCACCTCAGTGTCTTCAGCTGACAGTCTGGATCCTGTAGTAAATCATCAAGCTGCTTCACTCCTGATTGTCCAGGATCATTTCCTGTGAGATCCAGCTCTATCAGGTGTGAAGGGTTTGATCTCAGAGCTGAAGCCAGAGCTTTATAACCTTCTTCAGTGATACTGCAGTCTGAGAGTCTAGAGAAAAGAGATTTAACACAAAATGCATTTGAGATTTTTTTGCAGCAATATTAATTGTATTCAAAAATACCATTATTATTTATTTTCTCTGATTATTGAGGCAATACATAAATTATTATATTACAGAAGCATTTCTTTGCCTTTCTTCATCATATACAGTCATTTTGTTGGGATCCTGGAGATGCCCTGACATTTGTGCTAATTTCAATTACTTTTACCATCATACTGGCAATAGTTTCATTACATTACATTTAACACAAATTGTGCTACAGTAATAACAGGAGGTACACTATGAGCCCTATCATACACCCGGCGCAATGTGGCGCCAGGCCCGACGCAAGTGTTTTTTGCTCGTTTCAGCCTAACGCAGTTATCATTTTCATGTCCTGCGCCACATTGTTTAAAAAGCAAATGCATTTGCACCCATTTGTGTGCTCATGGGCGTGCTGGTCTGAAAACAAGGTGTGTTCAGGCGCATTGTTGGCACATTGCTATTTTAAGGCAACTGAAATAGACTGCGCCGTTGACCAACTGAAACCTGGTAGTCAATGGCACAATATTTTTTTTGTTATTTAAATAGTGTTAGTAACATGCGCCTATAGGCATGTGCACCACGTGCGTACACTCTGCTTATTACACACACAGGGACGCGCAGCAGCACACAAAAATGCCAAATAATAAAAACGAAAGGATTACAATGTAAAAGATAATTATTGTGTATATAAATATAATTCTGTCAGGACCACTATCGTCAGAATGATAGATACTTAGCATAAAGTTTGGTTTGGCGGTATGGTTCTGTTCTGGGCAAAAAACCTCCCTGCCCATCCATGCAGCCTGTCATGAATGAGCAGGGAGAGCAGCAATAATAACCCCCCTAGGGTTAACAGAACAGAACAATGCAGATATCATTAATGTACTCAATGATATTTAAGTGTAACACTTTATTCAAGATAAAGGAGTCTGATTAGCAAGGAATATCAGAAAGCTAAGTCCTGACTGTGGCGAAAGGTGGAGCTGGGGATGGAGGAGGGTAATTTGCTCCGAAGCAAGCTAAAAAGCTGCTGAATAATACTGAATACAGCTTATATAGGAATGCCGCGATAGGTGTCGTATTCCTATAGGTAGATGTGATCAGCTGAGAATCAGCTGATGCAAGCTTGACTCACGTGACCTGCCAGAACTAACGCTAAAGCTTAATAAATGCCTACATATCATAATGGATAGTCAATCACTTTTTTATGCGCACTGTTTTTCGGTTTCACTTTAGCAAACAATCACGTTCAGCAAGGAGGGGAGAGGATTGAAAAGGGGTGCACAGTAACCCATTTGGGGGGGGGCAGTGTTTGTTCTTGCAGTCTTTGCGCTTGCAAATTCTGCCGTGTAAATAGCGAATCCGCCATGGTGCGAGCACAACTGACTCTTAAAGGGAATGGGATTGTGCCAGGACCTCAGTCATCTCAAGAGGCTTAACTTTAAACAAAAAAATTATGTTGTTATTAAAATCAAGCAGTGGTTCACTGAACTCACCTGAGTTTCTGCAGTGTGCAGTTTGTATTTTCTAATCCGTTCTGGAGTTTCTTCACTCCTGAATCCTGCAGATTATTGTTTCTCATGTCAAGCGCTTTCAGACTGGAGTTTGATCTCAGGACTGTAGCGAGAGCTGAACAGCTTTCCTCTGTTAGACCACACTTACGCAGACTAAAACGTTAAACATGAGAGAGAGAATTTACAAACACATAATCAGTGCTTGATTGATTATATCTAGAGATTAATTAGAATTATTGTGTTTTGGTCACCTGGGTTCTTTAAGATGCTTCAAATGTGCAATAATAAATTAAAAGAATACTCACATCAGTGTGTTGAGTTTAAAGTGCTTATCCTGCAGTAGAGCAGCGAGCCGCTTCATGTTTGTGTCTCCTAGTTCAATTTCACTCATATTCAGCTCTCTCAGGAGTAACGGGTTTTTACCCACAATTCCAGTCACATACTGACAGGCTTCATCTGCAGCAGGACCCACAAACCTGGAGACATGAGTAGTCAAGGTTATAGATTTAATTTTGAAATAAGTGGGGACATAAAAGCCAGTTTGGTTTGTACATTAATTTTAACAACATTAAGTTAAAGAGTTAACTTTATAATTCAACAAACTATGTATGTGCTAAACACTTACCTTATGTTCTTACTTACACTCATCCTTGAAAAAGAGCAATTTTCTAGTGTATTTATTAACTTATCAGGTAATGTCAGTGGTATGACCCATTTCAGATGTGGACAAAATGACAAAAACAGTGCTTGCATATAAATATATTTTAACTGGTTATTAAATGTATTGCTAGGGACAATTCAGTAGTCACTGGATATTGGTATGGTGTGAAGTGGAAGGTTGGAAAAACACAGGACTGATGGTGCAGCCACAATCGCACGTCATTGCGAAGTCATTTATTCAAGCGTCCACAGTCCCAAAGTGCACAAATTTACAAAATTACGACAAATAAAAAAACATACACACAACAAAAATATTTACAAAATATTAGTGCTGTCAATCGATAAAAAAAATTACTAATCAATCACACATTTTTTTCTGAAATTAATCATGATTAATCCTACCTAACATTAAAGTTTTTAAATATACATTTATATTGCAATAATTTCAAAGTCAATCTTCAAATTAATGTAGAAACAACATAAAGACTGTATATTTTTTATATTTGTTTAATGGCATCTTTTATTATGACTGAATGCGAGTATCACCAATACTACTGATGTCTCAAGGAAATTGGTATTTTTTCCCTAATATTTAACCACTGACTACTGTCACGAATTCAGTCCATGGACTTCCGTTTATTCACCACCAGATGTCACCCTTTCCATTACATTGACTCTCGCACTACACAAACTGTTGCATAGCACCCCGGACTACATTTCCCATCATTCTTTGCACAATTTGCACACTGCCCTGATTGCTCTGATTGCACACAGGTGTTTCTAATCACCTCACTCACTATATTACACCCCCTCTAACCACATTTCTCGGCTGAGTATTGTTTAGCCTGTACCCCTTTTCCGAGTCTCCGTGTTTTCCTTGTTTTGCCTTGCCTGTTTTTGATCTTTGCCTGTTTTCTTGGATTTCTCCCTCTCGTCTCGCCCCTGTGATTCTGTCTGCTGATCGGTGACCTACGCTAGCCCTGTGACTATTCTTGTGTTTTGCCCGCCATATACCTGTTTGCCAGTGTTTTGACCCTGCCTGTTTACCACGTCTCTAAAATAAAGCCTGCAGATGGATCCACATGTCTCACGTCTTGTCAGCCCCGTTACAACTACAGCCATTCAACATTGCAGTATAATTGAGAGCTATCAATTTGAACAATTATTAGACTTTAAAAAAATAACAACTTCACATAAACCCATTATAATAAATGTCATATATACCTGTGCCCTTCAGCAAGTAGGAAATATACAGAGATTGAATAAAGTTATGAAACACTAAATTCTAAATTAAATCCGTAAAACTACAAAAGTTATTGATTAACACATTACAGCAGCTGGGTTATTCGGTTTTTTGACTGCTATTACTTTAAGAGCTGTCACCTCTGAATTTGACGTGGATCTGACATGCATGCTCGTATTCATTCGTGCTTTAATATTAAATGCACCCGCGGCATATCCAACACAGAAGACACCACAAGCAAGAAACTTCACAGCACGAACAAGGACACAAACTGACAAATATACAGATAAGTAAAGTATTGATGTTATAACTAAACCTATCTTTAACACTCACCTCAGTGTCTTCAGTTGACAGTTTGGATCCTGTAGTAAATCACTGAGCTGCTTCACTCCTGATTGTCCAGGATCATTTCCTCTGAGATCCAGCTCTATCAGGTGTGAAGGGTTTGATCTCAGAGCTGAAGCCAGAGCTTTATAACCTTCTTCACTGATACTGCAGTCTGAAAGTCTACAGAAAATAAATACATAAGTTAAAATTAACAGTGTGGTTCAAATTATTTAATTACTGCACAAATCAGAAAATATGACTAAATCACACTGCAACTGAATAAATGGTCAGATATGCAGACAAACAGATATGCAGGAACACAACTTCTAGTTTTAGCCTGCCATCAAATTAGAATAAATCAGAATCAGATTTCTGTACAGAAATCATTTGTAGAGTTACAAATGTTATTCAAATGAAGCTGAATGCCAATTATCAGTATGTATCATCAGCTAAAAACAGCTCTGTTAAACAGCACAGACTCACTCACATTGCATTGTATCTTATACAGGTATAACATTCTGTGAATTAAAGATCTACTGTCTCATGTTCTGTGTGCATCTTATATAAAACAGATTACATAATTACCAATTTCACTTCAGTTCCAATTTATCAAACATAAATTTGAATAAACTAGCTTTTACATTTTGTATTTATTAAACTACAATTCTCTGTAAAATATGAACTTATGCTGCTTTTTGTTTTCAACTATAATTTTCAACAATTGCAACTGACATTATTCAGTTCCTCATTATAATCCACAAACATTTGAACTTAAAACACTCCTTGTTTCTAAAGTCACCGGGAGTCTGTGTTTTTCTTCATGTGTGTTTTCAGTTGGCTCTACATGACACTCTAATTTTAGAAAAAAATGTGTGAATCAGTTAAGTTTGTTTGTTATATAGTTTTATTTTCTTCGTATTTACAAATATTGTATTTATGGTTGTTATTTTACTTTTTTGAGGGTTTTACAGTTTCAGTTTAGTTTTTAAGTCACCAAATGTTTTACTTTTAGTTTATGTTTGCATAGTTTACTTTAGTTTTCATTTAAATTTTTATTACAATTAACAAAAATGTTCACTTTCATTTTAAAGACAAACCTGTAGTGAGAAAACAAGCTTTATTTTTTCCAATTCTGAAGGTGAGCAGATGAAAAAATATAATATTTAATATTTGCATCATGTAAATGTAGAATATTTGCATCATCAGTTGCATAATATTCCTGTCATTGGTGTGAATGTTAAGCCTGTCACAATAAAAATAAATTTTGGACTTGCATATTAGTAAGTAGTAACTGCTTTAAATGATATCAGACCTCCAAACCTGTTTGCATTTTGACCTCCAATTATGCTGGTACAATTTGCCACTCTAAACTATGCAAACGCTGCCAACCACCAACCCAAATTATTACATTTAATGTATTATTAATTAGTTTGTTGTCAACAAAAGAGAGGCTTTAAGAACTCTCTACAGTTCTCCACCAAAATAAAAGCTCTATGGTTTAATGTTTGAAAACAAAACAATTTAAGAAATAAAATAAAATAAGTTGTAATATTACTAGCCATTTTATTAGGTACTAGTACTGCACAATTAATCATTAAAATATTACGTTGTGAACACCCATGTGAACTTATTCCAACGATTCAGCATTGCAAGTGTCAGCGGAGACTCCACAGCACATATTTTATCGCTGCTCATGTTAATGATCGAGAAGGCCGATAGTCACACCGTGATGTGAACATGCTCATTTACTAACACAGGCAGCGACAAAACCCACGCTGCTCATGCTTTGCTGATGCTTCTGATGCAGGTGTTAAAGGGGTAGTTCACCAAAAAAATGACCAAATCAATACCTGTGGCTCCTGACAATACATTGAGGTCTTATGAAGCGAAACGATCAGTCTGTACAAGAAAATGACCATTATTTACTAAATTATTACATTTAATCCTCAGCCTAGGCAAAGGTTCTCAGCGCATTCATAATTTTCTGAAGCACTATCATCCTCTGTCGCATAATGACATATGCGCCAGTGGCGAGGCTATGGCTAAGCCCGAGTATTCATGGGCCCACCCAATGAGAAGCTGGTCATTTCCAAATGGATGTAATGTATTAAATAATAATAATACTAATAATAAAAATAATAAATGTCTTATTTCACTTTAACTGTCACACCCATGGACTTTTCCCCCCTTGTTTGATTATGTTAGTCGGTTCACCTGTGTCCTCATTAGTTGATCATCCTCACCTTTCTGTCCCTCGTTAACAACCCTACTTTCGTTCTAGTATGTTCAGTATGCATTTGTTCGGTATTGAATGTGAACGTTGCATCTACGTGTGTCTCCTGTCTGCCATCTGTGAATTACCATACTGTGGATTTATTAAAGACTATTTGACTTGATCTTCTTCTTCGTATGTGTTTTAAAGACCATGTTACGTGACAGAATACGTGTGAGAGCTGGCTACAATGCATGCGATGGTGGATGAAACAGTGGAGCGTGAGAGGGCGAAGGAATGCTCCGTCCACTGCGCCACTGCTGAGGGTGAGCTTATGCAGGACTCAGGAGATTTAATAGACTTTTATTCTGAGGTTCTTCTTCTGTCATTATCTGTCTGTCCCGTCACAACCACAGAGGTTGTGATAGAACTGTCTATATATATTGAACTTTCTGTCTGGAAATATCTATCTGCCCTGTCTGTATGACAACAACCACAGAGGTCGTTCCCCTGTTGCTAGTGCTCCCGGTGCTGGGAGTGGCCTTGTGGTGTGTGTGGGCAGCACACACCGGTCCTAAGCCCCCTGATAATCCTGAACTCCTGCCCAGCCTCCCTCTCCCACCACCTCTGCAACAGTCCTCACCATCCCCACCGCTGTCTCCTGGCAGCCCCTCTGCTCACCCTCAGCCCACCATCTGTGCGGTGGGATCGCCGCGGGTCTGCCAGTCTCCATCGGTGTCGTGGCTGGAGGATCCCTTGTCTTCGCCACCAGCCTCTGAGTCCTGGACTCCGCCTCGGCCCATCGACCCAGTGGCTCCACCATGGCTCCTAGCTCCCTCCTCTCCACTGTGGCCCGTCAGTCCACCAGCTCCACCTTGGCCCTCCGGATCCTTGGCGTCACCCTGGTTCATCGGCTCTCCGTCTCAGCCTCGGGATCCTCCACCACCTGATCCGCTGCTGTCGGTCGGCCCCCTGGAGTTGTCAGCCCTTCCTCCACCATGGCTCCTCCATCCGTCAGCTCCACTGTGGGTCACCATAATGGCTGCGGCCTGGGTCCTGTCTGGCTCCTCCTGCTGCAAGTCCCTCCTGTTTCCTCCATGGCTCCTCGCTCTGTCATCTCCACCCAGGACTCTGTTAGTCGTCCTCCTCCCGGGTGTCCGGCCTCCACCTGAACCTTCTCCAGTATTGTCAGCCTGCCTTCCAGCCAGCCCTTTGCCATCCCCTGTCACTATCCCACATCCACTCCTTTGTCTTCCTCCTAAGTCCCCCTCCGTCCCACCCTTTTTTCCTGCGGCATGAGGTTGCGCCTTCCGGGAGGGGGGCAAACTGTCACACCCATGGACTTTTTGTTGTGTTTTCATTCCCCATGTGCTCAGTGTGACCGAGTTTTTCCCCGTGTTTGATTATGTTAGTCAGTTCCCCTGTGTCCTCATTAATTGATCCTCATCACCTGTCTGTCCCTAATTAACAACCCTACTTTAGTTCTAACCTGTTCAGTTTGAATTTGTCTGGTATTGAATGTGAATGTTGCCTCTATGTGTGTCTCCTGCCTGTCTTCTCTGAATTACCCTACTTACTTATTAAAAACTATTTGACTTGATCTTCCTCTTCGTGCGTGTTTTAAAGGCCACGTTCCATGACATTAACTTTATATATTTAATTTAAAGAAATATTAAGCATGAGTTTTATGGTCAATTACATGGAGTTTCTTAATTTTCCCTCTTCCTATAGGAAGATACAAAATGACGTGACATGTGGCCAAGTATGGTGACCCATACTAGGAATTAGTGCTCTGCATTTATCCCATCCAAAGTGCACACACACAGCAGTGAACACACACACGGAGCAGTGGCCAGCCTTTTTTTTTTTTGCTGCGGCGGAGCAGTTGGGGGTTCAGTGCCTTGCTCAAGGGCACCTCAGTCGTGGTATTGAAGGTGGGAGAGAGAGCTGTACATTCACTCCCCCCACCTACAATCCCTGTCGGTACGAGACTCGAACCCGCAACCTTTGGGTTACGAGTCCGACTCTCTAACCATTAGGCCACGACTTCCCTGACGATGATTTATCAGTTTCTGTTAGTTCCATCCACAACGTTACGGTGTAAGGACATAATAGTAAAATGCACGTCTTTGTGGAGCTGAATTTGAAAATAACAAAACAAATATATAAGTCTTTAAAAAGTATATGTTGAATATCCCAATTGAAACTAAATCTTAGCAATGAATTTGGACAGTCTACAAATAAAATCAGACCACCTGCCATTGACGGGTTTATAGATTGGAAACTTCTGAGCCATGCATGTTTGAAGCATCATATTAGTTTAGGTTCAGTTAAATGGATGCATCTATTGTAGAAAAAGAAAAACATAAATGTTGTGCTAGATACTCTTCTCCATAACTGCATATTTGCAGCTGTGCACATTTCTACGGTCCTCGATATTTACTACTCTTTGAACGCGAACTGACAGACACTTATGAGATTTACTTATTATGATGACTAATTATGAGATCATCTGCGAAGCCCTGTTGTCTCAGACTGAGTTAATTCTTTAAAATAAACTTCCTTTAGTTAACGCTAGTTAATGCATTAAATAATACATTTGTTACAATACTTATTGTCTTTGTTAACATTAGTTATTAAAACACAACTGTTCATTGTTATTTGTGTTTGCTCAGGTACGAATGTTAACTTTTAAGTTTAATTATGTATTAGTAAATGTTTGTGAACGTGAATGTTAAGTTGTAAACATTATCATGTTTAGGAAACCAGTTTGAGATGATTTGAGCTTTGTGACATGGCACATTATCCTACTGGAAGTAGTCATCACAAGATGGTCACTGTGGTCATAAAGGGATGGACATGGTCAGCAACAGTACTCAGGCAGGCTGTGGCATTTCAATTATGCTTAATTGGTATTAAGGGGCCCAAAGTGTGCCAAGAAAATATTTTCCACACCACTGCACCACCACCTCCAGCCTGAACCGTTAATACAAGGCTGGATGGATCCATGCTTTCATGTTGTTTACGACAAATTCTGACTCTAACATCTGAATGTTGCAACAGAAATTGGGACTCATCACACCAGACAACCTTTTTCCAATCTTCTACTGGAAGATCAGGTTGCTGTTGCCTTTCTATGAGTTTGAACCAGTCTGGCCATTCTCCTCCGACCTCTGGCATCAATTAACTGCAACAGAACTGCCAATCACTAGACATTTTCTCCTTTTTTTAATCATTCTCTGTAAACCCTAGAGATGGCTGTGCATGAAAATCCTAGTAGATCAGCAGTTTCTAAAATGCTCAGACCAGCCTGGCACCAACAACCATGCCATGTTCAAAGTTACTTAAATCACCTTTCTTCTCCATTCTGATGCTCAGTTTGAACTTCAGCAGATAGTCTTGACCATGTCTACATGCCTAAATTTATTGAGTTGCTGCTATTGTTTGGCTGATTAGATATTTACGTTAATGACCAGTTGAACAGGTGTGCCTAATAAAGTGAGCATTGAGTATATATATGGAAATGCCCCACATTATGGTTGAAACAATCATATTCCTTTCAGGTGTTTGTTTAAAAGACATTTATACAATAGTACTATTATAGAAGTGTTATGTTTGTCTTTCTTTTGTAAAGAGCTTGTTTTAATAAACAGTATTTATTTATCACATGGAATGCTGCTTTGAAACCAGTCCATTTGAACTAAATCTTCAACATTTCCTGTCTGAAAATAGGCAGTCTTTTTTTCACCACACCAGTTAAAGGTGCAATAGGTGATTGTCTTCAGAAACATTTTTTGTTATGCTAGTTGAAAGTCTCTTCACACCCCGATAGCAATCATTAAGTTAAGTGGTCTAAATATATTTATCTGTATTTATATATTCTGTGGAAGGCTTAGGACCAAGAAATGTTCGTCCAATCAAAATGCTCGGTCCGAACGTTTTAAATGGCTTTCCTACCTGCCTGTCAACATATGTATCTGCATACCTCTGCGCACCCTGTTCGTGCAGACAAGATACGTCATCAGCGCGTTCACGTATACTGTGCAGACAGAGCGAGAATGGCAGACAAACATCAACAACCCGGTCTTCCTTCCTGGGATTGTAGTACTTTTAAAGTTTTCTCACCGTTGAATGAGACATGATGTAGCCCAGCGGTTCCCAATTCCAGTCCTCGCGCACACATTGTGCATGTCTCGCTTAGTTACCACACCCAATTCAGATAACCAACTCGTTAGAAGTGAGCTACGTGCATGAACTGTGTTCCGATCGATATGACACCTACACAGTGTTCACTGCTCTCTACTCCCTGAGCAGGGGTTTACTTCACTCCGGAACATGGTTTGGAATTGGGAACCGCTGATGTAGCCTATTGTAGTAATGTTGTCTCTGGTATTCTGGTCTGTGAGTGTATATGCGTTCAGGGGGCGTGGCTTTGGACGGCGATTGCAGGGAGGGTGGGACGTTTGCTTTCAGTGCTATCAGGCTAAAGTTAGCATTTTCCAAGATCTCCTACTGCACCTTTAACAACATCTATTATTCTTTGGAGCAGCTGCCTGATTGTCACCTCTGACACACAAAATTGATGAGATGACAGAAGCAGTACGCCTGACCAAAATGTTGGTGACAGTAATTCTTATGTAAACATATAAGCATGTAAACATTACTGAGTTCAGCAAAAAGTATTGTGCTTATGTTTACATATCTGACAACATGTAGATATTGCAATTACCAGTGTAACTGATGGTGAAATGTACTCACTTGAGTATCTTCAGCTCACACACAGGATTCTTCAGTCCCTCACAGATCTCTTTGACTCCTGAGTCCAGCAGACGGCTGTGGTTCAGGTTCATCTCTTTCAGGATGGTTTTGGAGGAGAGAACAGTAGCTAGAATTAAACTTTTCTCTGTCAGCTCACAATTATTCAGCCTGAACACAAAAAGCAGCATTATTTATCTGCTCCACATGTAACTGGATGTCCTTTATAATGACTAAACACAGATGTTATAATATATAAATCATGTTCACTCACTTCATTTTCTCCAGTTTGCTATGAGAGTCCATCAAAAGAGCAGAGAGTTTCTCTCCATCCAGGTCTCCTAATTTATCCTCACTCAGATCCAGTTCTTTTAGTACTAATGGATTTACACCCAGCACTTCAGTGAGATACTCACACGCTTCCTGTGCAGCTGGACTTTTCAAAAACCTAAAGGAAGTAGAACTTCGATTAGATAGTCATGCTATAATTTGATGTCATTTGCGGCTCTCATCCTCCTTATGGGTCCAGTGTAGTATTAATGTCATAGTTATGATAACTGCCTCCAGTTCAACTGAGAAAATGTAAGAAACTTGAGTTCCAGACTCATGAAATTCAGTCGTTTACTGGTATTGCATTTAAGTTCTACATTGTGTCATTTTAATTCATAATTTAATTATCCATTTGTCTCCTCTACATAGTTGCACAGCTGTGACTCCATGTCTGTGGCTTCTTTGAAATATTTTAAGTCAATTATCACCTGATGGTCTGTAATTTACAGCATCCACCCCGCTGTAAATCAATGAGCCCCTCCACTCCTGATTGTCCGGGATAATTTCCTCTAAGATCCAGCTCTGTCAGGTGTGAGTTTGACTTCAGAGATGAAGTCAAAGTTTTATATCCTTCTTCAGTAATACTACAATCTGAAAGTCTGTATATAAAAAAAGATTGATTTAATGATATCACCTGCTTCATTTAAATTTCTAAATATTTCATATAAAATTTAATGTTGTAAGCTGTCAAAAAAAAAGGAATTAAAATAAAATTTTAGTCTCCATAGTCATCTAGATTTTTTATCATTTGATATACCAAATAGACATTTTGTAATGTATTCTGTATCTTTGTGATTTTGTGAACTTGGCTGGTAATTTTCCTCTGTCCCGGTTTTGTGTGTTCCCCCTCATTACTTCCTGATTGTTTGCACCTGTGTATTGTTAGTCTAATTCTGTGTTCACGCCATGTCATAATTCTGAGATGAGAACACGTGACAATCTACTCTGAATTATGTGTTTCTTTAGCAAAACTATCAACGGCAAAGCCCTCACGTGCTCCTGAACTCGCAGTTACAACTTGTAAACTCAGAATGTTCTGAGAGATACGACTTGGATCAGTGACAGCTGTACCACGTGTCCGCCAGGTTCATTTTGGTGCTACTTAGGCACTACCTCTGAGTCCGAGAACATGGAAAGCTATGAGTAAAATGTCACGTGTTGTCATCTCGGAATTACCGTAATTACAACATGGCATGAACGCAGCATAATTCCCCCTGTGTATTTAAGCCTTTATGTATTCTGTGTTCATTTTCTGGTGTTGTCCATTGATGAAAGTACTGTTGGTGTTCTCAGTTCTGCTCAAGCTTCTCCCATGTCACCTTGTTTTTTTTTCTTCTTCTTTTTTTGTTAATATTACATTTTAGTGAATCAAACAAAAGCACAAAGTGCAATGTGTAATGTTTTAAAGAGAAAACATTACACATTAATAAATGTATATTCACACACAGACATGTACATAAATTAAAATACACACTTCAGTTTCTCTAATCTGCATTGTGCATTTTCCAACAGAGGACAGATTTTCTCAATTCCTGAGTTTTCTAGTTTATTTCCACTCAGATCCAGCTCTATCAGGTTTGAAGGATTTGAGTTAAATGCTGAAGTCAGAGCAACACAACCTTCTGCAGTAATGCTGTTATTATTCAACCTACAGAGAAAGAAAACAAAGACAGGAAACAGTATTCAGTTTATCTCGAAACCTTCTTTAATAAACAACAATGACAGTTTTAATACAAAACAAGTGAAAATATAACATCAAAATAATGTTGTATTCAATACTCACATCAGTGTGTTGAGTTTACAGTGTTTATCCCACAGTAGAGCAGCAATCTGATCCATTTGTTTGTCTCCTAGCTTCTTTTCACTCAGATTCAGCTCTCTCAGGAGTAACGGGTTTTTACCCACAATTCCAGTCACATACTGACAGGCTTCATCTGCAGCAGGACTCAAAAACCTGCAGAATGGAAGATGAAGCAGGATTAAATTCAGTTGTATACTAAACTTGGTATAACGGAAAAATCTAGAAATTACTGCTTAAAACCTATATTAAAACTTTTAATACAAATCACCATTAACAATAACAACAGATTACTGTATTAGTGAAATATGTTTTCTATAAAAAAATAATCCTTCATGTCATTTATTTTATATTATTTCATCATCTCACCTCAGTGTCTTCAGTTCACAGTCTGGATCCTGTAGTAAATCATTGAGCTGCTTCACTCCTGATGGTCCAGGATCATTTCCTGTGAGATCCAGCTCTATCAGGTGTGAAGGGTTTGATCTCAGAGCTGAAGCCAGAGCTGTATAACCTTCTTCAGTGATACTGCAGTCTGAAAGACTAGAACAGGAATGTAAATGTAACATTCAGATTAACTGATTATTCTAGAAATGTTCTGAACAATCTAAATCCATTAAAGGAAACATTTTGTGAGATGGAAGCAAACCAAAAAAAAGGACCTTTAGTATGTCAGGCATCAACTCACCTGAGTTTCTCTAGCTTACAGTTCTCTTTCAGCCCATCAGAGAGCAGCTTCACTCCTGAATCCTGTAGATTATTATTGCTCAGATCAAGATCCCGCAGACTGCCGAAGTCTGAACTGAGAACTGAAGTGAGAGCTGAACAGCTTTCCTCATTTAGATCACAGTTACTGAGCCTGAAAATAATAATAAAAATATTATGAATATATAACTGTACCATTATTGTAGGAAGCAGAGGTGTTGAGAGTGAA